GTTCTTTAGAGAAAAAAAGATAGAAAAAAAAGGAAGGAAAGGAAGGAAAAAAAAGTAAGGCTGCTGCGTTGAGAAAGGAAGGAAAGGAAGGAGGAAATCTTGGCATTCTCTTCTCTCGGTTTTATCTTCTCAAACTCATGTCTTTCTTTTGGTTTATTTTGAGAACTATGTGTAACTAATTTTTTAGAGGTTAGGGGCTGTTTTGAAGCCCCGAATATGATTGCAATTTTGTTATGACATTTCGTTAAATTATTTTTATGAATGGATGAAACTTGGTTCACTACTTGTCTCATTGATGAATTCTTTATTTGTTTTCTATGGATGCATACGTAGTAAGCATATATAGGATTCTAATGCTATGAGTATGTGTGTGCCTGCCCTTGTCGAATGAGGACCTACATATGTTCTAAAGTAGTACTTGTTAATTGCGATTAACATGTGAACCAATTTCTAAGATAAGTAAGACAACGACAGTACTTACGATGCCTTGTGATGACTCAAACTCTTTTCGTTCTTAATGATTTCTACTTGTTAAATCTATGAACACGCCATTCTAGATTGCATGCTAGGGACTAAGTTAAGTTGAAAACGTCATTCTCTTAACATACTACGTAAGAAAGAGTAATAGGTTGAGTTCTAACATTGAGCCAACTTGAGCATCTTCATCCGGAAATAAAAGAAATTTGAATGAAACATAACATGTTTGCATGATTATTTGGTGGTGGATAGCAATACCCCTAACTCGTTTTTCTTAATTTGTGAACTACTTAAAATTTGTTTCATCCTGTTTTTGTTCGATTTAATTTAAATAGAAAATCAACTCCCAAAAATCCCAAAAATTTGTGTGAGTGTAGCTTTGTGTGTCTAGTATCTACATATAAAATTTCGTAGACTTTAGATATGTATAAGTCAGTCTAATAATTATTTTTCGGTGGCTGGTCAGTAGGGACAGCAACCCAGTTTTTGTGACATTTTAGGTAGTTAGATAAAACAATCTTCTGCGGGAAAGACCCTTATTTTCATATGCTACAATTGACAAATCTTAGTGTTAATAAGGAAAATCAATAGGACATTTGTGTGCTACTTTGTGGTGTGCTTATAATCCTATCAAGTAGTTATGCCTAGGTGGGTCGCAGAGAAGTCAGTCACTTTTCATCGTCTTAGATTACCTGAGGTTACAGTTGTGGGTGAGCGTAGTGGGGTAAGGCATGGTGTTATTTCTGCCATAAGGGTTAAAGGGTTGTTAGTGAAAGGTTATCAGGGATATTTAGCTCATATGGTGCTGAATGGTAATACTCCTTGTAGTGTAGAGGATGTTCGAGTAGTCTGGCATTTTCCTGATGTATTCCCTGATAATTTACCTGGATTGCCACTAGACCGAGACATGGAGTTCACTATTAATTTACTTCCAGGTACAAATCCTATATCTTTAACTTCTTATCGAATAGCTCATGCTGAATTGAAGGAACTAAAAATCCAATTGCAGGCATTAGTTGATAAGGGTTTTATTCAGCCTAGTACTTCACCCAGGGGAGCTCCGGTTTTATTTGTGAGGAAGAAAGACGGGACTTTGAGGCTATGTATTGATTATAGGCAATTGAATCGGGTAACAATTAAAAACCATTATCTGTTGCGACGTATAAATGATTTATTTGATCAGCTTCGAGGCACCTGTGTGTTTTCTAAGATTGATTTGAGGTTTGGTTACTATCAATTGAAGATTAAAAGTGATGATGTTCCTAAGACAACTTTTAGGACTCGATATGGTCATTATGAGTTTCTTGTGATTCTATTTGGGTTTGTTGATGCACAAAATCAGCGAAGACTTTGGTACAACAGAAAGTGTCAGGTTTTGTGACCTTCGCTTGGTTGCTTCGGTCACTAGTGAGGATAAGTACGTAAATGAATAGAGACAGAGAAGCAAACACAGGATGTACGTGGTTCACCCAGATTGGCTACGTCCACGGAGTAGAGGAGTTCTTATTAGTAGTGAAGGGCTTACACAAGTACAAAGGATCAAGCTCTCAATTTAGTGAGTTCTTGTGAATGATTTAACACAAATGGCATTAGCCAATATTGTGGGGGAATGACCCCTATTTATAGAAAAACTTGTAGCTTTGTCACATTGACATGTGTCATGTTATGATTGGTTCTTGATGTCGACACGTGCTGCGCTCTGATTGGCTTCTAATCTTGACACGTGTCGAGTAGTGATTGGCCTCCTGGTCGGAGGGGAACTCTTCTGGGTCCTTGACAGTATAGCGTTGGCCGGTGCTCGGTAGTTTCGGGATTGGTCAAGTATGGTACAAACAGGGTTAACTAATGCACCTGCAACTTTTATGGATTTGATAAATCAAGTATTCCAGCAATATTTAGACAGGTTTGTCATTGTTTTCATTGATGATATTCTGTTGTACTCTAAGTTTAAAACAGAGCATGTTTGACATCTTACTTTGGTGTTGAAGAAATTGAGGGAACACCAGTTGTATGCTAAGTTAAGCAAATGCGAATTTTGGCTTGATCAAGTGGCATTTTTGGGACATGTTATATCAGCTCAAGGTATTCAAGTGGACCCTCAGAAAGTGGCAGTTGTGGAGAAATGGGAGTAACCACAAACCGTTACCGAGGCACGGAGTTTCCTTGGTTTAGCAGGTTATTATAGACGGTTTGTTAAAGATTTTTTAGTTATTGCTTTACCACTAACGAGGTTGACCAAGAAAGATGTTAAATTTGAGTGGGATGATAATTGTGAGCAGAATTTTCAGTAGTTGAAGTATTGTCTCACTCATGCACATGTTTTGACGCTGCCTGATGATAGTGGTAATTTTGAGATCTTCAGTGATGCTTCCTTGAATGGCCTAGGTTGTGTGTTGATGCAACATGGTAGGGTAATTGTTTATGTTTCGCGATAGTTGAAACCTCATGAGATGAATTATCTTACTCATGATCTTGAGTTAGCAGCTATTATCTTTGCCTTGAAGATTTGGAGACATTATCTTTATGGTAAAAAATGTAAGATTTTTATGGATCACAAAAGTCTTCAGTATCTTTTCACTCAGAGGTATCTTAATCTTCAACAACGAAGATGGATAAAGTTGCTCAATGATTATGATTGCACGATTGATTATCACTATGGTCATGCAAATGTGGTGGCAGAATCACTTAGCAGGAAATCCCAAGGCCGAATTAATGCTTTATACGCTTGTCGTATCCCTCTTCTTGCAGACCTAAGATCCATTGGAGTGAAGTTAGAGGTGGAAGATCGAAAGGAAGCTTTACTTGCTAGTTTCCAGGTCAAACCAATTTTAATTGATCGAGTGCTCGATGCTTAGATGAATGATGAGGAAACCCAGGAATTAATTCAAGCAAGAAAATAGGAGAAAGAAAGATCTAAGGATTAGAGAATCGGATGGTATGCTTATGCAGGAGGGAAGAATGTACTTGCCAAATGATGCAGAATTAAAGAAAGAAATTCTTGATGAAACACATGTATCGGCTTATGCAATGCATCCTGGGGGTACTAAAATGTATCATACCATTCGACCATTTTATTATTGGCCGGGTATGAAAAGGGAAATTGCTGAATACGTGAGTAGGTGTGCCATTTGTCAGCAGGTCAAAGCTGAGAGGAAAAAGCCATTTGGATTGATGCAGCCGCTTCCCGTTCCACAATGGAAGTGGGAAGATATTACTATGGATTTTGTGTACAAGCTTTCTCGTACACGAAATGGTTATGATGGCATTTGGGTGATAGTTAATTGGCTTACTAAATGTGCACATTTTATTCCAGTGAGGGACAAATATTCTTTAAGCCGATTAGCTGAATTATTCATATCGAAGATTGTTAAGTATCATGGGGTTCCAGTTAGTATTATCTCGGATCGTGATCCTAGATTCACTTCAAAGTTCTGGGTAGCATTTCAAAAGGCTCTTGGTTCAAGATTACTCTATAGTACGGCATATCATCCTCAGACAGATGGGCAATCAGAAAGGACTATTCAGACGCTGGAATATATGCTAAGTTCTTCGGTATTACAGTTTGGTGATGTTTGGCACAAGCGTTTAGATTTAATGGAGTTTGCCTACAACAATATCTATCATTCGAGTATTGGTATGTCACCATTTGAGGCACTTTATGGCAAGTCTTGTCGTACACCTTTGTGTTGGTCAGAGATTGGTGAAAGAGTTTTAGTGAGCCTTGAGATTGTAGAGGAAACTACTCAGAATATTCAGGTAATTAAGTCTAACCTGAAAGCAGCCCAGGATCGACAAAAGAGTAGCAGACATGCATGCCAATGATCGAGTGTATAAAGTGGGTGATTGGGTATTTTTGAAGCTATCACTATGGAAGGGTGTTGTAGTGCGGTTCAGGAAAAAGGGTAAGCTAAGTCCTAGGTACATCGCACCGTATCAGATCACCGAGCGAGTCGGTGAAGTTGCTTACAGACTTGAGTTGCCTCCAGAGTTATCTAAAGTGCACAATGTTTTTCATGTTTCCATGCTTCGTCATTATAATATTTCAGATCCATCACATGTGATACCTTCTCAACCATTGGAAATAAATCCAGATTTGACTTACGATAAGGAGCCAGTGATGATTTTGGACTGAAAAGATAAGGTTTTGAGGAATAAGACCGTGCACTTAGTGAAAGTTTTGTGGAGGAATCACTTAGTGGAGGAGGCTACCTGGGAGACAGAGGACCGTATAAGAAAGTTATATCCACGCTTATTTTATGGTTATTAGTGGTTTGTAATTATCATGTGAAATTTCGGGAACGAAATTTTCTTAAGGGGGGTAGGTTGTGACAGCCCATCCCAAAATATAATCTATTTTATTCTTTGAAAGCGCGGAATTACTATTTTTATCCTTGAGTGTTGTGTGGTGTTGTGTGGTTTAAGTTTTGGATGTGGACCAAATATGTTAAGTCCTAATTGTTTGGACCCAATTATAACTCAGTTTTTCCTTGTTTTTGGTTGGCTGCAACCTGGACCACACGTTCACACACACACATCAACCCATTGACCCCCTCTCTCTCTCCTTCCCTCTCGAGTTTGCTTCCATTTCCATACAATTGTACGGACAATCTCTCAAATCTACTTTTTCATGCACGGATTGAGTTTGTAAACGCCATCATCACCTTCCTTGTAACCATACAAACTCAACCATACCCTTGGTGGGACGTGAGGGCTTCGGGAACCTCTGGAACTAAAAGCTCCGATGAGGAGCAATGTTCACTTGTCGTGATCGCATTGGTTTCAGGTAGTTTTAAGACTTAGAAAGGTTTTATTCTTGCTTTTCTAGTACTTTGGGTTAATTTTGGAGTAATTTTGATGTAGAAACACTCGGGTTTAGTGAGTTACAAGGTGGCGGGATTATCGTGACTTTTTCTCGCGAATTTCCGGTGGATTTAGGACCTAAAAGTGGTAAGGAATTGTTCCTTTCGTCCTAAGCTTCATTTTGGTTCAAAGTTCATGGATTTTGGTTGAGATATGAGTGATAAATTAAGCTTAGAACATTTTCCAGAATCCGGCAATCACAGTGGTGCTAGCATCGGACTCCGGCGAACAAAGGAAGAAGGAGGCGAATATTCCGTCAAAGTTGACGGAATATTCTAACGGCGTTAGGTATCTTTAACAGTTTATGCTAATTTTTAACGGAATATTCCCTAACGCCGTTAGGGTTTCCGTCCAGCGTGCCATGCCTTGGCCGAGCGTGTAGCCATGCCTTGGCCGGCGCGTGAGGGCTCATGGGACGTCGAAAAAAATTTCTAAAAATATTGGGATGTTCGTGGGGTTAAGCAGGTCACGATGGTATATTCAAATACCCTAATTAAGCAATGTATGAGATGTTATTACCTAGTTTTGGTTATGTGCTTTTAAATAACGTTTAAATAGTTGTTTCGCATATAGGTGAGACCTATCCAGAGCACAAGCGCAATCAAGCGAGACTCGGGGGCTACGACCTTTCCACGTATCAGTGAGTGGGCTTTTGGTTTTCAGTAAATACTTATACTTGGTAATTTTCCCAGAAAATGTGTTTAAATGAAATTATGTTTTGAAATGTCATGTCTATCGATTTATACTTCGATTATGAATTAGTATAGTAATTGCATAGATCTATGTTCGATGCTATGGTTGCTCAGGTAAGTGTCAGGAGACTTGTAGATTGTTAATGTGAGTTGATGATTATTTTGAGATGCATTGAGAGCTCATAAACCTGCACCCCGATGTTAGTGCTCCCGCCCATGATTAGGGCATAGTCCTTCACGTGATGTTCACCTCCCGCACCATACACTCACCTTGGATCCAAGTTAGGTGCACAGTCTTGTCGTACAGACCACTATAGGTGGTTTCGACTCATAGATGACCCGCGATTTTTCGCATAGCACGTGATCGTAGCACTTAAGCGTATTTATTTATACCCAGTCATGTCGTACATACCACTATTGGTGGTTCTGACTCATGTGCATGTATACTTGTTGAGCTACAGGGTCAGCCATACATGCCACTTTAGGTGGATTCGGCTGATTTATTATTTCTCATGAGTTTATTTCACCAGAGTCACTTATTCTGTTATTTTGAGATATTTGGCATGGCATACTTATGAATATCGTTTTTCTGAGCATGGTTTTGAGTTATGTATATATCCTATTTGTCTGGGAAATTATACAGGTTTTACGGCGAGGGATTACTACCTTTGATAATTGAAAAGGTTTTGAAAAGCTTTGTTTTTGCCCACTCACACTTTCTGTTTTGCGCTCCTCCAGGTTTTAAGTAAGAGTGCGTGTTGGTTAGGGGTGGTTCGGTATGGGATATCGAACCAAAACCTTAGTCCCGATTCCTAAACCGAAATTTTTGGTATTCCCAATTTCAAGACCGTTCCCAAACCAAAATTTCGGGAATCCTAATTTTCGGGAATCTCGAAATAGTTTCGGTATTTCGAGACAATAGGGAATCCCGAAATATTTTTGGGCTTTTGGTGATTCTGTATTCCCAATTCCTATAACTGTTATATTTTCACTGAAATAATCAGGTACATACTTTAAACATTACTGTGCTTCTTGTTTTCCTTCGTTTCGTGATTGTTCTTCCATTACTAGTTTCAACTTCATACTCCTGATGAGTTACCCGGCTTGAGGTTGAAGAGGTAGAAGGAATAATGCATGAATTGATTAAACGATATCGGTAGGCAACATTAAACTCTTAAACAACCACCAGTTCAACTGCGGATAAGTTTTATATGATATCTTCTTTTTTTAGTACTGAGATGCATTTATAAATTTATAACCTATAGAACAAAGTTGTTTTACCATTTAAGAATACACTAGAAGGCTAACCTATTACAGAAGTTATATACCTTTTTGTAATTCTGTGGAATACTCATTACACTTCCGGTGTTTATGTTCTCTACTTTCTTCAACAACTTTGACAGTGTTTGTGTTACTTCCAGTAAAGGTGACTCCTATCAATGAAATAGAATTACACATAACACATATCATAATCCTCACATATCATAATCCTTCATATCTTTATGTTGCAGGGATGAAAAATAAAGTAACATGATTTTTTCATTATTGTGCCAACATGATTTATATATATTATTATCTGTGTGTGTGTGTGTGTGTATAAAATAATTAAAAATATATATTTCGGTTCGGTATGGGAATATCGAAATATTGGGAAGACAATCCCGATTCCCATACCAAAATTTCGGTATTTTTTCGGGATAGCATACCAAAAATTTTGGGAAAATCGGTTTGAGATCGGTATTTTTTTGGTTTGGTTCAGGATTTTTGGGAATTTTTTCCTCCCCTAGTGTTGGTGGCTTACGAGGATTTGACGGAGGTGTTGACAAATTATCACCATTGTAGGATCACCTTTGGGTATTGTATAATTAGTACTTGTCCTGCCAGACTGCACTTAGGCTACTTATACTCTGGTTATGTGTAATCACATTTAATCTCGTCACTTGCACTTTGCCTTATCTAGTACTCTTAATTAGTTTGATTGTTATTTATTCGTATTTCTCTATATCAATTTCATTTCCACACTGCGCACATGGTTACGTCACTCTCACGTGACAGCCAGCATGCCTCGATCTAGGTCGGGGTGTGTCACAAGGGTAAGTGTCTAAGATGTTTAAATTATGGGAACTTTAACAAAAAACCACATTTTTATACTAAAAAAAATCAATTCTGGTACTATTCACTTTACCTTTTATTTTGTCCTTATCGTTAAAACTCAAAATTTTCAAGTCATTTTCATTAGTTTTCCCTTAAATTATTATTCTTACTATTCACATTCAACAATAGATGTCTTTGCACAACTCCACCCGTTTGGAAAAGGCAAAAGTAAAGGTAATGACACTTACTATTTACAAAAAAATTTTTTTTTTGGTAAATTACATAATACTCCCTCAGGTTTAAGGTCTATTACAACCTCATACAACATCTTTAAAACATTTCACTTTCATAGCTCACCTACTATTTTATTTCAATATAGTACCTCCGTTATATTTTCCATCCATTGATCCTTTAAGAGCTGACGCGGCTGCCATCTGTATGCCACATGGCAAAAAAAAAGTAATTTTAATTTTTTTTAAAACATGAATCTTCTCCAAAAAAAAAAAATGCAAAACCCACCCTACCTCTCTTCTCCCTCCTAAGTCGAGCAACCACCTCCCCTCATTCGACCCGGAGTCCCTCCAACCGCTAGAATCCCAATCCCAAGAATCCCAAGCCCTCAACTCTTCCGCCTTCTCCCTCCAGCTCTACCCCCGCGACACCCTCTTCAATTCCCAGCACAAGGACTACAAATCCCTCACCCTTACCAAACTCGGCCGCGACTCGGCCCGAGTGAACTCGCTCCGCACCAAGCTCCAGTTGGCACTCTAGGGGATCAAAAGAAGGGATCTCGAGCCCATGCACATTGAGATCCAACCTCAGGACCTCTCCACCCTCGTCATCTCCAGCGTTAGCCAGGGCAACGGAAAGTACTATATTGAAATAAAATAGTATATGAGGTATGAAAGTGAAATGTTTTAAAGATGTTATATGAGGTTGTAATAGATCTCAAACTGGATGGGTATTATGTAATTTACCCTTTTTTAAAATAAATATTAACTCTGTAAGTTTGTTTTTATTGAAAATAAAATGATTGCCTAATTCCAATAAATGAGAATTTAGGTTCTCATATCTCATTTCCCTATTTCATTGATTTAATCTAATTCATTTCTAGTTTTCAATCTAGGTCCTTGGGTTTTTATCCACGTCAGTATTTGAATAATGAAACATTCATATATCAACATATTTAAATTTAATAATTAAAAAATTATTTACATATATCTATTTAGTGTTAGAAACGTTATATTGGGTATATATGTGGTGAATTCGTGGTACCACATTTTTTGCAAAATTTTTGACACAAATCTCTATGCATTAGATTTAAAGACACTCAACTTAAATGATAGCTGACATGAATTTTTAACTTTGAAAATTAAAGAAATCAAATTTTCTCTCATCTAACTCTTTTTTTGAGGAAAGTAAATTTCAATCAAATCTCTCTCATCTATTTCTAATAATCTATGAAAAACAAAAACAAAAGGCCAAATCGTATAAATGGTTCCCATCATAAGGTATTCGGAAAATAACTCTTGTGGTAAAAAAATTCGGATTTAAACTCCTGTAGTGAAGTCTGTTAGGATTTATGCTCAAAATTGAAACTTTAGTCGTTCCTTTGTTAGTAACTTGCACATGAACCTCACATGTGAGGCTAAGATTGTCATTTCATCCATACCATAGTCGATTTCCATGTAGAAGCAAGACATTGCGAACTGAAATTGAATAGTTGGAGAGAAACTTTGTAAGAAACCAAAAAGTAAAAAAATGTAAACTTGTTTTAGTGGGAGAGAAACTTTACCCTCCATAACCATTATGTTGAATTTGGCTCTTCTCGAATTCATGAACCAACTATTTTTTCTCTGTAAATTCGATAATCCAGGAAGCGAAATTGGAATAAAAATTCAAAACTTTTACCAATTGTAGAGAGAGAGGAAAGAGAGAGACCTTGAGCATCCATAGGGAGAGAGAGGTCGTCGTCTTGTGAATTTCTTAGTTGTCGTGAGTGCCTCCTCATCGATCCCTCACATATCTTCCCAGTTGATGGTTTCTATTTTTTCTGTTTGGCTGTTGGGAAAGTGAAAAGGAAAACTTTGCCGAAATTCTAAAAGTCTTATCGTGGACGGTGGATCAAGTGGGTTTATGTTTCTCCTGTTATTTGTGGTCTTAGGATGAGAGTGATTATGAAAGGGATGAAATGACCATATTAGCCTTACACATGCATATTACTTACAGAGGAATGACAAAATTGTCAATTTTGAGTATAAATCCTAATAGATTTCACCATAAGGCTTTAAATCTTTTTTTTTTTACCATAAGGGCTTACCATTTATCCGATTTGGCCCAAAACAAAAACCCTAACTACATGTCAGCTTCTCCTTTCTTTCTATGCAAACTTAATAAGTTTTTCTTTCTCATCATTACTCAATTTGTTTCTAATCTATTCTCATTCAAAATGGCGGAGAAGGTGGCAAATTTTTCATCAAACTTTCACTCCATGTCTCTAGTATGTACTCAATTTAATATTCCTCAGTTTTTATTTTGATCGATGGTTATAGTTGTTTTTTTTTTAGTCAACGTTTATGTCAGCAGTTGATCTGGAGAACCAAGATTGTTGGGAACGTAAGCCTTTTGTTTATCCTACGACCATAATTCTAAAATTTATATATTTATCATGTATGTTTTAACTTAGATCATTAAGCATGATTAATATATGTTAAATAGGTACAAGACACAGTTCAAGTCGAGAATGGTAAAACAAGTAGTCCAAATAAGAATTCAAAAGGCTTGAAAGCTCCATATGTAGGAATGCTTTTTGACACAATGGAATAAGATAAAAACTATTAGCTAGATTATGCGCCACAAGAGGGATTTTGGATTCGAACTTAATATTTATGCAGGACAAGAAACGGTTTAGACGAAATAACAAGTAGACAATTTGTTTGTGCACATCAAGGAAAACACGTTCCAGGAAATATAGTACATGAGACTTTGGAAGAGAATGAAGATAGAAAAACATGTCAAATTGAGAATAGGAAGAAAATGAATAAGAATTGTTCTATAGTGAAATGTGGGTGTAAAGCAAGTATTCGAATTGTA